GATCACCGCCACTGTCATCGAGATGATCGAGGAACGCTGGACCATCTCGAAAGAGACCAATGCTGAACGCACGAAGGACTAGAATTGCAAAGACAAGGAAACATGTAAGCAAGAAAAACAGCAGGTAGGATAATCGACGTAATCTAGTTGACTGGATACGAAAACAAGGACTGGAGAAAGCTAACATCATCTTGTGAATTCGAAATTGTCGTAGAATGGCATGAAGGGATGGATAATGAAAGTAGACCAAGTGTCGTGTGCGCAAGATGCTGCCATCACTATGCAACGCAGGAGGGGGTAGTAGCCCGAGTAGTGCGGATTTTTCGTCCAGTACAACGCCGCCGCTCCTAGGGTAGTGGATGTAGCCGGATGCATGGTCCGTTTCGGACGCCGAGATGGATCCGTAATCCATGGATGGTTATGCAGCCTCAGTAATCACATAGAAGAACTTAATCTGACAATGGTATTGACGTTGTTGAAACACCCAGATTCATTCTGGATTTTGCACGGAAAATGAGAGGAAGGAGGTTGAAAAATGTGGGAGAAGTGTGCGCTGGAGGAGTGATTTTAGTGGTCTTACTCCGAGCACGAGGTGGCTGGGTCACGTGATGCTGTTCCTCAAACCCATGTGCGTACGAGGCCAGGCGGACAGGGTGGGAGCTAAGGCTGCTGCAATGAAGGAGATCTACAGCTACTCAAGGACTGGTGACATTAGGAAAACGCGAGATAGGCGACACTCAAAGATCAAATCAAACGGAGTCGAAGAAGACGATTGAAATGACTTTGTATGCTTCGAGAACCGCTTAAATCAAGCTATCTAGAAGACTTTTGCGCACTTATTCAGGACTATGATTCCCATTATTGTCCAAGATCATGCCGTCTGACCTAGGCCAGGTAATTGTGTAGTATCCAGTGTTCCTTGCACATTCATCCAAGCTTCTGCTTCTTGTTGGCTGGGCCCTCCTCCTCCGCAGTCGCAGTCGTAGTCGATGCCAGGAGCTCGGTCAAGGGCGCAAGAGCGGCGGCATCGTTGCCGGAATTGGAGTCGTGCTGGGCATGGCCACGGTTGGCGTTGAAAACGAAGCCACGGCCACCATAGTTGTCGTGCTCGGGGGTGCCGCCGTCGGCATCGCGCTGGGCAAGGCTACCGTTGGAATCGGACTGTGCAAGCTCGGTTTGGGTCACAGGCTGGGCTGCGAGATCCACAGGCTGGAGTTCGAAGTTCACACCATGTTGCTGTTTATGTAAGTTGGTTCTGGTACGGGGGGTTTTAGTTTTGAAGCGTGCCTGCAAACCCTCTTCCAGAGGCTTAACACCGCCATCCTTGCCCTTGGGAAGACCCAAGAGGATGCTGTTGAAAGCAGTCCAGATAAAGCAGTGGATGATCTCGTGCTTAAAGTCGCTGGCGTCGGAGAAGTGTAGAACGGTCATCTTGTCGCCCATCCGGAGAAGGCTGTCAACGCCGAGCTTGACATGGTGCGGAGTAGGTTCGGGGAGCATCATGAGGCTTCGAATGAGGTTGATGTCCTTCTGGTACTTCTTGTCCTTCATGGCAGAGCGCCAATATCCACCACAAAGCCAGTCCCAGCGACGCGCAACCTGCGGAGGATTTCCAGAGTTCGCCTCTCGCTTGCGGTATTCCCTCTCAGAGCCCATTAGGATCGAATTGACCAAGAACGTGAAGTTGGGATTGCGAGCGGAACGTTCAGTGGCCGGGATGCTGGCAAGCTGTTTATTGATCTCTCCGAAGACATCGTTGGCTGCTGCGATCATAGGTGGAACGGGGCCTTCGAAAAGGGGAACGGGAGGCAAGATCTTCGCTCGAGACTTGCGAGGCTTGGGCGTCTTCTTGGGCATGGGCGCCTTGGTCTTGGGCGATTTGGTCTTGTTGATCTTTGAAGCGGACTTTGGAATGCGTGGAATGACATAGCCAGCCTCGCCCTCAACAGGAGCAGGCTGCGAGACAGCTTGCGGAGGGGCACCGCCCTGGGCATTGTATTCGCCGCTGAAGAGTGCATGCTGGCCTGCACTGGGACTGGCGTTGGCATGGCCATGATGGGCAGTGTTGATGGCAGAAGGCTCGCAGAAGTTGACGGAAGGGTGCGAGCGGTTGGCAACAAAGCTGGAAGCCTCAGCATGGTATGGGTGATTGGTGGGAAAGCTGTATGCCTCGGAAGGGTCAGGATAGACGTATTCTCGGGGGCCATAATCGCGTTGGACGTTTGGACTGCCAGCGAAGCCATGTCTGGGAGCGTGGAAAGCTGCCTCGTTGAAAGGGTGGCCGGCGGAGAAGTTGCGCTCTGGCTCATCGAACAGCTCGCTGTTGACAACATGGTTGCATATTTTCCAGATTCGGTTGTTCTCATCGACATTGGCAGCATTGTAGAGGCGCGAGTGGCAAACGTCATGGCCGGGAGCAGCTTCAGATGGAGGATCGTAGTCCAGACCTTGGTTGTGGCCGTAATGTTCGTGTGGAGACGGTGTAGGTCCATCCCCTGAGCTGTTGACATTGCGTGCCAGAGCAGGGTTGAGACCTGCGGCATCGAAACCTGAGGTGTTGCCATTGTGTCCATGTAGATGGTGTGCATGTCCCTCAACTGTAGAGTTGCTGTCGCAGAGCAGACTAGGATCTATGCAAGCAGGATTAAAACCTGGATGATTGCCACTGTGTCCATATGAAGACTGTGCATATCCGTTCTCAGAGCCGTTGATGTTGTCAACCAGGGCCGGATCGAGAGACGGGGAATCAAATTCTGGGTTGTTGCCATTGTGTTCATACGAAGACCGTGCAAGTCGATGCTCAGAGTCGTTGTTGATGTCGACCGGAGCGTGATAGAGAGACGAGGGACCAAATCCTGGGTTGTTGTCGTTGCGTCCATAAGCAGCCTGTGCAAGTCCATCCTCAAGTTCGTTGTTGACGTTGTCGACCTGAGTAGAGCCAAGAAGCGCGGGATCAATGCCTGGGTTGTTGCCGTGGTGTTCATGTGGATATTGGGCAAGCCCATTCTCCGCATTCACACTGCAGCCCATAGCAGCGTTGAGAGCCGCAGTTTCATGTTTCTCGGAGTTGTTCGCTTCACTGATCGATGCGTGCTGAGACGGAGCATTGCCTTCGCCCTCTTGGAGGGCATCTGCGATGATTGTTAGCAATGCAATGCACGAACACAATTGAACAGGTGAACTTACTCAGCGCGCACTTGGTATCCATGATTGCGGTGCGAAAGGGTGGTGCTGCGAGCAAGGTGCGATGATAGTGGATCGCGACCTGGTGTTTTGAAAACGTCAAGTCAGTCGGCACGGCGACGGGGAGGGTGAAGTGAGCACACCGTCGTTGAATTTTGTGATCCGAAACGAGACGAAAAGAAACAACAATGAGCAGTTCAAGGACTGCAAAGTATTGAAGAGAAGTTGCTCGTGAGCAACTAACAATGACCGTCTGGCTTGATTGGAAGGTGAGCAAGTCCGTCTCGCGGCAGCTCAAGGTCGATGTACGGGGAGATGAGCCGGCAGTCAAGAAACACCTCTTCAGTGTGTTTCTCCGAGCACATGTTCCGGCTCCTTACTCTTTTTCATTGACATCAAAGGCTGTTCCGACTTGCATCTAAGATGTTCTCTTGGTCAATCCTCATTGAAGCACACACTCCATGTTCTCTCCGCATCTCGTCCGAAGAGCATCTTGCATGCAACCAAGTCTATCATCTGCTGTCTTGTACGGACATGTCGGATGATCTGCCCAAGACTCTTCAGTACCTATGCTCCTCAAGTGCGTCTGGTGCAACGCACACCGGCCTCAGCTGTCAAATTTGCGGTCACTAACTCTCCATCACCAGACAGAGTTTCTCATCTAAACGCTGTTGAGCAGCTGGTATCTCACGTTGCAAGCGTCTTCGAGGTCAAGTGCAAGTGGCCCGCTCGACACCACAACGACGGACCTCAGCCTGAGAAGATGTTCAGGCCTCGGGGCATCTTGCTTCGAGTAAGTCTGTGGACAGCAATGCTCAAAACAGAGTAGACTGACCTTGGTACATGATGAAGCCTTACGGCTCTTGCTTAAGCTCAGTTGCGAGAACTTGGGCAATGTTCCTTGGCAGCCATTGCTGCATGAAAAGGAACCTGGATATACTGCGGTCATTTTGAAACGGTTTGAAGCCAAAGATCCCATCTGCCCTATTTCCATGCTCGTACTGAAGTTCTATAGTTGATCCTCAGCGCGAAGAATTGAGACTGAAGACCTCCAAGTTGAAGAACGATCCCGTTGCTGAGAATGTAAACCACATAAGATTGATCTACCCATACGTTGAGTACATCGGAAAGGACAAATTATGACCGGAGAAATTAGAGGCAATGGAGAAGGAAGAAGAGATGACAGCTACGAAAGAAGAAGAAGACATCCTTTTTGTATGCTCGTGAGATGTGAGGGTCTTCGGGAGCACTCCTTCGTTCCCACGAGAAGTGTGTTTGCCCAATGCATTCTTCCCAGATGAAAGCATACCCATGAGGACACCTATGAGCTCCAAGTTTTAGGCCGGACCTTTTCTTGTGGTAATACTGCTGCCAGGCGCCTTGACGAACATGTTGCCAGAATATTGGCCTTTGCTCTTCGGAAGGAAGACACCCAATTCCCGGGCCACCAGAGCTCGGACTTTTCTGCTTACCGGCATGCCTCAAGCCAAGTGGGAAACGCCTGGTTCTGAAGGGATCGAGCGGCGTTGGGTGGTAAGTCGTCGATACGTGATCCCCATGGCGTAGTGTTCCTGGAAGCCAGAACAGCGCAAACGCGAGAAGCGAAGTGGTCACGCGCACTTTCGAAATTCGAATTCATCAAGCTGCAAGTACGGTAACCACTGGCGGTACCCCAGTGACTGGGGTGGAACGTACAGCACCTGAGGAGAGGCAAGTAAGGACGGGCCCCTACGTTAAAACTGAACGCAAGCGGCTGAAAGAGTCCCGGATATAAAGTTTGCTATATATATCACATGTTTTGTTGATTTCCCAAAATCGCATTGATAGTTTAGGGGTAGAATTCGAGCTTCCCATCTCCTGGAGAGTGCTCGAGGTCCGAGTTCGAGTCTCGGTCAATGCAAATTTTCCTTTTGCTCCTACTGAACACAGATTATCCTCTTTTTTTGCATTTCCAGCAGGCGATTTAGGAGGTGAGGTCTGATGAAGAAATCCCGGTGGCTTGAGGGTTGCGGGTCGCGATCTGCGTGACGTCGACGCCAAAGTGAAATGCCAAGCTCGCCGTTCAACACACCCACGACTCTAGGAACAACCTACATCAGTTAATATATTCTTCTTCGGAATTCCTAAAGCCTTCCGCGCCGACTGAAAACACAAGACCGAGCCAACATGTCCAACAAAATCGAGAAAACCATAGCGCGACAGCAGGAGAAGTGAGCAGGACATCCTTGAAGCTATAACCGCCTACTTACAGTGCCTCCACAGAATCGCCGAAGGCCAATTCTATGAAGCTCACCAACAACTGCGTGTAATCGCATCACGCTACACGAAAGGCTCGCAATGGCCTCAAGCAATCGATCTCCTCTCCTCAGGCGCGCAGCTCCTCCTACAGGCCGGACAAGGCGGTAGTGGCGGAGACTTGTGTAACTTCCTCCTGGACGTATACAACAAATCAGAAACGAAGCCCGATGCTGCGAGCAAGGCACGGTTATTGAGTTTGCTGAGGGCATTCCCGCCTGCCGAGCCGACACGGAAGAGGTTTATTGGAGACATGATCGGGTGAGTAGCAGGATGGTCTATTGAAAGAATATCTGAAAACATCCTTTGCATGGACGACGGCTAACAGCATAACAGCTGGTCCGCGAAGTTCGGCGACTATCCAGCAGGCGACCCAGAGCTCCACCACGTCGCAGGAACCCTATACGCAGAAGGAAAGTCCCCACATCGCCTCCTCACGACGACCATGACTAACAAACACACAGAAGACGAACCCTACGCCGCCGAACAACACCTCATCCTCGGCACCAAAGACTCCGCCGACCACCTCGTCCGCCTCCATTACACCTGGTACACCGAATCCGACGACCCGTCCACCGCGCCCCTTTTCGCCGCCCGCTCTATCCTCCCCTACCTCCTGACCGGCAACCTGCGCGCCGCCAACAAATCGCTCCTCCTCTTCGGCTCGAAACTCGGATCCTCCGCCAATCCCCCCGCGGTGCAAGAAGTCTCGTCCAAATCCTCCGATCTGCGCGTCTATCCCTCGCTCCCGCTGCTGAATTTCCTCGGACTGCTGTTGCTGGCAGTGCAGAGGGGCGAGGCGTCGCTGTTTAGGCAGTTGAGGGCGCATTACAAGGGGCAGTTGCAAGAGATTCAGGTTTGGAATGAGCCGCTTGATCAGATTGGGGAGATGTATTTTGGGATTAAGATCCCGAGTCAGGGGAACCCGCTGTTTGATATGATGGGCAGTTTAATGATGGGGAGGGGAGGGGGCGGTGGTGGGAAGAAAGCTGCGCCGAAGGGCGTGGGGTCGCCTGCGCCTGCACCGGCGCTGGATTGAATGTGAATATGGAGAGCGTGGCTTCTTCTTGCAAAAGTGAAATGAGTTTTCCTTTGTAAATGAACGTTGTACAGCGACAGAGTCTGGCGATCACAATGCTTGAGGTACATATATCTAGGGGTTGGCTTGCTTCTTATTCCATGCTATGCAATCCTCGAACTTGACACCGCTGCCACCGAAAATGTCGAGAGCGCTTCCGATCGTTAGATCTACCTTTCCGTTGCTCAGCTCCTTCACTAGATCCAAATCTTGGATCCCTCGTCCACCGCCGGCATACGTGACTGGAATGGAGCACCACTCGGCCAATTTCCTCACCAGTTCGTGGTCGATACCTTTCTGCAGACCCTCGTTGTCGGCAGCGTGAATCAAAAATTCCGAGCAGTATGGCTCGAGTAGAGATATAGAGTCTGCCATTCATGAGCGCGAGGGAACAGAGGAGAGACAGTACAACGAGTGAAGAATCACATACCTTGATTCAACTCCATATCTGCGATCGTCTGCCATTTATTCATAGCGACCCACCAGCCATTTCCTTTCTTTCTGCAGCTGAGATCAATCACCAGCTTCTCCTTATCGTTGTCCAGCGCAGCAAGGACGGCTTTGAGGTGCTCGAGGGAGAATTTACCAGAGGGGAAGAGGTACGATGTTATTATCACCTACTACACTCGTATTAGTCCAATTGATCTATCGAGACCCCTCTGATCCCAATTGAAGCTCTTTAGCTGAACATGATCTGCATCTTACGGGATTCACGTCCGAACAAAATTTCCACAAACCTTCTCCGCCCCATTCTTCACCCACTCTGCAGCATTCCCCTCATTCACACCTCCTCCCACCTGTAGACCCTTTGGCCATGCTTCCACAGCCTCCCTGCATGCATCATCGTTCCCAGGTCCCAGCATTATAACGTGTGCCCCATGGAGACCTTGCTCTTTGTATAAGTTCGCGTAGTAGGAAGACGGGAGGAGAGACGTGAAATTCGTTTTCAAAGATTCGGGAAGCGTTTCGGAGAGGGTGCCGCCCACAATTTGCTTGACGCTGCCAGCATGCAGGTCGATGCATGGGCGGAAGATTGTCATTGTTGTGGTTGAGCGGAGAAATAGGACTGAGTGTAGAGGAGAGAAACTTTAGCGTCGATGTGGGGTGATGACTTTGGCGGGGGTGGGATAGGGCTGGCGGAGCGGGATCCTTGGTAACAGTGGCGGAACATGTTCCGCTCCGCACCCTTGGAAAATTCCTTCAGCAATTTCAATTGAAAGCACTGTAAAAGTCACGAGATATCCAACACAACAATATGGCTGTCGCTCTGGGAAAACGAAAGCGAGAAGCTGTAAGAGTCGGAAGAAGAGCTCTTTCAGAAGAGCATGAGGGGTCTGATGAATCAGAAAGCGAAGCAGACATGCAAGAGATATTCCGTCGACACTTTGAGGCACGATTTGAACCACTCCCGGAGCAACCGAAACCGACGGAGGAAGAAGAATCGGATGAAGATGACGATGAGGAAATGGTCGGAAAAGAATCAGAATGGGAAGGTCTATCATCAGGGCCTGAGGACGAGATTGAAGTGGTCGAGCACGCACTAAATATCCCTGGTGGAGATGGGGAAGAAACGCTTTCAAAGAAAGAGCTTAGAGCATTTATGGTATGTCTCTCTATTCTATCTCTTGAAGTTGAACCAACTCTAACCCTCGACTAGTCCGCCAAACCACCATCAGCAGTCTCCATAGCAGCCTCGTCGACTCTCGCTCCAGGCAAACCCACCGAAGACGACGAAGCCGGCGAAAAGGTCAATCTCAAAAACGACTTAGCTCTCCAGCGTCTCCTCTCCGAATCACATCTCCTTGACTCCTCCACCAGCACCGGCCCTGTCGGCAAAAACCGCCACAAAGCAACCGACCTACGGCTCCTCTCTCTCGGCTCCAAATCCTCCATTCTCACGCAGCAAAAAATGCCCATGGCGCACCGCAAAGGCATCATCGCGAAAGCGGCTACGAAGGAGGAGACGCGGCGGAGGGAAGCCAAAGAGGCAGGCGTGGTGCTGGAGAAGGAGAAGAAGAAGCGCAGGAAGGGCGTTGAGGAGAATAGGTGGAGGGATAGGGGAGTGGGTGGGCCGAGTGTGGGGAAATTTAGGGATGGTGCGTTGGTGTTGAGTCGGAGGGATGTTGCTGCGATCAGGGGACCGAGTGGACGGGGAGGGCGAGGCGGGAAAGGAGGGAGAGGTGGTGGGGGGAAGGGGAAGAAGAGGGGAGCTTCAGGAGGTACAATACGCATTTGATTTGGATTTGTCAAGCAGCATGGTTCTCCTACTACTATCTATGGTTTTTGGAGCGAAATGCCGTGTACCGTGTTGAGCATATCAGGCATGAAATTAGTATATCGGCACGGATATGCGGAGAGTACTCCACTGTGGTCAATGCAGCTCGTTCCTTGGTCTTTTTTACCAGGAGGATGTCTCCACTTTGATGTCGAATTTCTGAGCTTAAGTTGTTCTCGAAGAAGGATAGCTTTATCTCTAGACATATCAGTTCGCAGCATCCACCGACATACCGTATCAATCTGGCGAGAAAGTAAAAAGCAAAACTCTTGCACAATATGACACCTCGCAGACTGCCAAAGCACACCAGATTCGACGTCCAAATGTCGGCACCGAAAGGTACGCCAATCCGGATGAGGGCAATTGCGCTGACTGTATGTGAGATCTGAATAGATGAAGTAATTGGAATCTTGGACATCCTTACAGGCCTCCTAACCCACTAAATATAGCATCTTCCGACAACTCTACCCGCAACTGTCAACTGCCCTCCCAATCGTTTGAAATACCGGCTGTCAAAAAGGCGTCCTACTCAGTACCAGAGTGAAACTCTTGCCGCGGAGGTGTGTTTGAGGATCGGCATGCAAGGACGCCCCCGCCGCGATGCCGCCATTTTTGGCGCTGGCTCGCAACGCACAGACGGACGAATGAAGTCAGCCACAGCATCAGCGTAAACCTCCGTCGCAGCAAGAAACCCAAATCCGCTCCCTTCTGTACATACATATCATACATGTAGACACGTTTCCTCTTTGCTCTACCAGGCGGGGAGTCGTGTGATCCGGTGTCGACCTTTCTCTTTTTCCTTGTTGATTGAGCAGTATATATACCATTCTTGAACCCTGTTGCGGACCAATACCTCCCCTTCTACTCTACAGTACTGTGGCTCCAAGAGTATCCCGAGAGCTTCGAATTGATCCAACATGGCCTCCGACGCGCCAGTATCAACTGCCACGCGGAAGAAGGTGCTGAAGGTGGTCTTCATATCATTACTATTAGATCTGGTACGTCTCCCTCATCCCTTCCAACAGCAAGTACTAACTAGCCCAGATCTCCTTCACCTTCATCCTCCCGCTCTTCCCCAAGCTCCTCGAATTCTACCGCGACCTCGAATCCTCCCAATCCTCATCCAACACCCTCCTCAGCAGCGTCCTCGAAGGTTTGAATGCCTACAAAAACTCATTCGCAAAACCCATCAACGACCGCTATGACATCGTCCTCCTTGGAGGCGCCCTCGGCTCCCTGTTTTCCTTCCTGC